TATAAGATGTATAGTAGAAATTTTCTCCCCAACTTATGATATATATATGGTCGAAAGCTAAAGTGAAGAGGTGACGAAATTTTATTAGCCAATGATAATTTCCCACTTGCTAAGACTTAGAGCTTAGCCACCTAATGAAGGGGTTAGTCATATCTTAATGTCTAGCAAAATGACACCTCATGCTTTAAAAAATGTGGAGACAAATCTCTCTCACAATACTAATATAAGCTGACGACATTTCCTTAGAAATTTGACAAAAATGCTACGGCATATATGTTCTAAACATGATTAATTACTAATTAAACATAATCGTTATGCTTAATTAATTACTAAGCATGATACTTAATTACCAAAATTATTCCAAACACAAACGTGACTTCGAAAATAATTTCGGGTAATCTCGACTGAAATATTTAATTCCGAATTCATTAATTAAATAAACGAATCGGAATTAAATCTGGAAACTTATTCGGTTACTGAAATAATTAAATCGAATAATTTATCGACTAATAGTTGAACTCGGAATATAACTAGCTGATTAACCTGAACTTGAACATGAACATGATTATTCACTAACAAAGGCTAGCTTAAAATTAAAAGCTAGTATTTTCCTTTATTAATAAAACTCGGGGTGTTACAAATGAAATCATTATCTACTATTTATTTTAACCAATGATCAAATTTTAAAACATAATGTCAGTATTAAACTTATAATTTTAGTATTTTATGCATATATATATATATATAATATCTTGTGTTTGAAATTTAATATCATATCTAACTTATAATTTTAATATATATGCATACAAATAACTTATAATACTTTATTTATATCTGTGCAAATGCACAGGGTCAAATACTAGTATATATAATTACTAGCTGATGCATTTAATAAAATATTTATTTAAACCTATTTTTATTTCCCTCCAAAATGAGTTACAATTTTTAATTAATTACTCATTAATCTGCCAAAATCGTTACACCTTAATATATATTTTTATTATTTAATTTTTGGAAAAATTACTAAATTAATTCTAGATTTTGTAGCAAAATATTCAAAAGTGTAATGGCTAATGTTGGAACCTAAAGTTGATTGACACATTAAGAGCTGCAACCACTATTTTTGTTGCATTGTTGGAAAAAAATATGATTGACACATATTTTTTTTCCTAAAAATCATAAATACCAATAATTTTTTTTTATTTAAATTTATATATGCCAAAAATATATAAATTATTTTATTCATGTTACTAATGTAAACGTTGTTGCATGATCAAAATAAAACTTAAATCTCAATTAATTTTGAATAATAAAAATAACTTATGGAAAAATAATAACTTTTATATAATAGAAGTACATTTCTAATTAATAAGTACAAATAAAAACGTATTTTATATCTGGGCAAATGCACATGATCAAATACTAGTTGAACAAAAAACAAAACAAGGAAACTATACGAAGGGTGGAACGTTGAATGGTCATGGACTAGTTGAAATGACCAAGCTACCCTCGAGTACTGACTCTTTGTCAATGAAAGCAAAGCAGACATGTGGATGTTGTCGTCCGGATTTAACGCCATAACTGCCGGTAGGCCCCGTCCAAAAAGGTAGTGGCAACATCGATATTATAAAAACTTTCGAGGGGCCAAATGGGAATAATAATAATAATTACAACTCTTCTTAATTGTTGGACTTCTGTTCTGTTTCACTTCCACACTCACACTATCGCTATATTCCAAATCCCTCCACCAAAAACCCCACTGTCGGCAGAGCAAGTAGTACATTTACCACCTCGACACCCACGCGCCGCCCTTAAGAGGCGCGTCATGGAGGGCCTCGCCTACATCTTCATTCTCGTCCTTCTGGCTGGCCCGGCCGCCCCATCCCTCGTTCCCGCCGGCCAGAAGTGGCAGAAGGCTACGGCCACGTGGTACGGCAGCCCGGAGGGCGACGGGAGCGACGGCGGCGCGTGCGGCTACGGCTCTCTGGTGGACGTGAAGCCGTTGAGGTCCCGGGTCGGGGCGGTGAGCCCGGTGCTGTTCAAGTACGGGGAAGGGTGCGGCGCGTGCTACAAGGTGAAGTGCTTGGACTCGTCGATATGTACGAGGAGGGCCGTGACTGTCATTATCACCGACGAGTGCCCCGGCGGGTACTGTTCCAACGGCCGCACCCATTTCGACCTCAGCGGGGCCGCCTTCGGACGGATGGCCGTTTCCGGCGAAGGAGGTCAGCTGCGCAACCGAGGCGTGATTCCGGTCATCTTCAGGAGGTAATTAATTAATAATTAATTAATTACTTTAATTAATTATTATCAAATTGAAAAAAATGCAGATTAATTGGGTGTTTTGTTTTCTGAACGGTCAAGTTCTATTTTGTCGTTTTGTGATTAGAGCCTTTTCTTTCTTGTTAGCAAAGTAATTAAAATGAAGATTTTGAAATTATTATCTTAATTATTTAATCAACAATTTGTGAAGACAAAAATTACTTATTATATATATATATATATTTAACCAAATTAAAGTTTATTTTAATTTTATAATTTTCATTTTTCAGAGTTAAGGTTGTTGGGGGGGTGTACTGAATGTTCAGAGTGGGACCCACATATCTTTATTGAGATAGTACCATTTATTTTTCTTTTTAATATTATGGGGTGGTAAAATTTATGAATTAATTAAATTTATTATACTTATGTATTGCTACTATATATATATATAAAAATAAAAAAA